AAAAGAGATAGAATGAAGCAGAATGATGAGCAGCAGTCTAAGCCTATAGCAGCATAACTATAGAGATAGCTCAGGATAACCTGAGCCACTCTAACTATAAGCTTTATCAAAAAGTAAAGTTTTAAGCCTAGCCTTAAAAGTAGACAGGGTGTCTGCCTCACGGACTAAAACTGGTAGTTGGTTCCACAGGAGAGGAGCCTGATAACTAAAAGATCTGCCTCCCATTCTACTTTTAGAAATTCTAGGAACCACTAGTAAACCTGCAGATTGAGAGCGAAGTGCTCTGTTAGGAACATAAGAAAAAATTGATAATTCATGTCAGCATCATGCAGAGAAATTTCTACTAAATAAGATCAGCTAAAACTGCTCTGTGGGGCTGCAGGTTTCAGTCTGGACTGAGTCCCTGGAGAGAACCCTCCCTCCAGAGAGGCTTGATCTCTGCTTCCGTCACTATACGGAAGATCTAAAAAAAAAAAAAAAACTGGCATAGTAATTCAAATAAACTGACCCTTTTTCATCTCACTAACTGTTCTGTTTATTTAGTGATTTAATGTGAGAACAAGAGCAAATATATAGACATCTTTACCAGTCAGAGAGGATTGGTTTTAACTCTGAGATAAGGAAAATAAATATGCTTTAAAGGAACTACTTTTTCCTCCTAATCTGTTGGGGTTTCCAGTGGGTCAAGTCTTTTCTGTACCATTAGTAAGGGTTAGAAACTGAGGCCCTGTAGTTACATCAGTCGATTTGAATATGCAAACTTCCCTGGTGCACATGATCCCTCTCTGCAGTGTTCATAGTGTCTGATGAACAGAAGGTATAATGACTCTTCAACAGGCTATCAGTAAATCAAACTGGGCTGATATGGGAGGATGTGTGGGTTAGTGACACAGACCCGGTTGCTCATATTTATTTCCCATCAGTGTTCTCTGGAGGCCCACATCCTTTTATAGCTAATAGATCAGGCCTCCTCATGATGAGGTCATTATTGACTAGTGAGCTCCTGTCCAACAATACATCAACACTAATGATACACTAATGCCACTGAGATGGCTGAAGGTCTACACTATGTCTTACTATGTGTGAGTGTTCATCTCTGCAATAAAACATGAAGCATGTTGTGATTTAGCTCCTTGCAGCTCCTCCTGAGGTTAGCGGTTTGTTTTGTAAGATGTGTGTTGGTTCTGATGGTGAATATGGGTAGGGTTCTGGGTTGGTTCTGATGGTGAATATGGGTAGGGTTCTGGGTTGGTTCTGATGGTGACCATTGGTAGGGTTCTGGGTTGGTT